ATCGGTCTAGTTTTCACCTTCCTCATTCCCGAGACCAAAGGAAAAACCTTGGAAGAATTATCGAACGAAGATCAAGAGGGATTTGTCAAGGGTATTGGCGCGGCCGGAGAGAAACGAGCGAATCTCTTCGCTCATCGAGCCGCCGAAATCAAGACTTAAACACACTCTTTTTATTTGCCTCTTTTTCATTCCCTCTCATTTATAGAACAGGACAATAATTTATTTTTGATTCTTTCTTTCGCTATATATTTTATTTTATCTTTCAAAGAATCAGGGTATTTTCCAAATTGACACAAAAAGGAAATTCCTTGATAATTGTATTTATAATTCTGTTTTCTTTTTATTATTATTATAAAATATCATAGTTAAAATTGTCTGTCTTAGCTTATCGCATTTAATCACATTTTCTTGGCTTCAATAATCTCCATTATTTTAAGAATTTTTACTATAGCATCGATCAGACATGAAAAGGTGGTTTCCCGAATAGAAATGTTTGTTATCCACACATTACCAAAAATAATTAATAAATTTGTAATCCCTATTTAACAGTTATTGAGTTTATTTATCTTTATCCACTGTCAATTTATTTATCCTTGGTAAAAATAAATTTTAAAGACTATCAATTTCAAAATGTTTGTTCTCGCCAAACCCACATTTCTTTGTTGAATTCATTAATCTCTCAAAACTCATGAAGCGGGTAGGTAAATGAAAAAGGAAAACTCTGGCTAAACGATTATACCTCGAATTCAATTCCGAAAAAAAATAAAGATGGCACACCGCATTAAATGATCTAGATCGACAAGCCAATTTACCATTTTTTAAAAATCGATAATCATCGATGTGACATTGATCAACATCAACGAGTAGGATGGTTTAAGGAAACTCTTAAATGAAATTAAAGAAAATATTTATTTATTTAATTGTCATCCCAAAGTATCCTTTGTTGGCACAGAACGCGTACAAAGTTGATGGCATTGAATTCGGGCTGATGCAGTTACACGCGACATTTTGTGGACTAACTATATTTAGAAATACGGTATACTGATTTAAAAAAAACAACTAAATTATCATAAATTATTATTACAGTATTATAGATGTACGGTAATAATGACTCGTAATATAACGCCCTCTCATTAAAAAAAATAGATGCGGCACTTTAGATAATAAATAATAGATTAACCGATTAGATAATTGATGATGTTTAATTAAAAAAAAAAAGATTATTGATCATATATTTACAGTGCGCGATCCAATTATGACATAATTGGATTAGTGGGGGATAATTTGGATCTTAAGGATAAAATTGAGATATACGGGATTTTAAGGATATTATAATTGGAAAATGGTTTTTAATATATTATAATAAAAAATTTTTATTAAAAATTAAAAATACATGTACTTGGTAAAATATCTACGTATATATGACATGTAAAAAGAAGAGAAAGAACAATATAAAAAATATTTTTTCCAATTAAAATAATAAATCATCTTACATACATACAATTACTCATCTCGCGCCAGATCTAGATGCTTCTTTCGATGATGTTACACGATTGACAATCTTCACATAGCGATCTTCACATAGCGACAGACTTTCCAATTAGCACCCCAACAGTAAGTGAATATGTTATTTGAAAACTTTTTTGAATTTATTTATTTATAATATTTACTATATCTATTACTTATATAAAAAAACAAACTTGGAATTGTACAATTAAACAAATAGAATTTCTATTTGAAATACAGTATATACTGTATACTGTATCATTTTACAAGTTGAAGTTTAACATTGTTGTACATTTAAAAATTTTCTTTTATCGATATACGTGTACAGTATATATATACTGTATATACAGTTTGCTTAAAAAATCTTGCAAAATTTTTAATTTTTAATTTTCATTTGATATTTAATAATTAATATTAATATATGATAAAAATTTAGATACACATTTTATTAATAATAATATAATGAATAAAGTTACTTCATGAATTTTATTATTATATTATTAAAATTTATTAAAACTAATTTTTTTAAAAAATATAATATTTATTTAATTCAATTATAATAGATAACTTAATAAATTCTTTACAATTATTTTAATATAGCAATTTGTATAATAAGAACAAAACTAATTAAAAAAATAATTTTTAATGGATTTTAAATTTGGCCAATTATTTAAATTTTAATAATATATATATATATATATATTGAAATTTTAATTTATACATTATCAGTCGGCTGACATGTCACAGATGATCATCATATATTTGCACACTTATAAAAAAAAATCGATTTGCATATCAAATTTACTAGTAAAAATTCATAAAACGTGTGATTTTTTT